ATCATATAAAGAAAATCATTATAAAATGTGGTACCGATGGTATCTGCCACCCGCAAGGTTAGCAAAAATGTATCCAAATGTGAACCCGGCTTGCTGGAAATGTAAAAAAGCGCAGGGAACTTTTTACCATGCTTGGTGGCTTTGCCCAAAAATCAAAAAATATTGGAACAAAATAAAAACATGGATATTAGAGATAACAAATCACGAAATTGAATTAACACCTGAAGTCTTTTTACTCGGCATGATCAATAAGAATATTAGGAAGGACATAAAATACCTAATACTCCACATTATAACAGCGGCAAGATTAGCGTTGGCACAACTCTGGAAAATAGACCGCTTGCCAACTGATCAGGAAGTAATACAGAAAATCTATGTATGTGCAGAGATGGATAAATTAACCCTAAAATTACAGGATAAGGAAGATTCAAAATACTTTAAAATATGGAATAGTTGGTACCAGTGGATAAGTCAGAGAGAGGGAATGCTTAGAGATGAAAGTTAGGAGAAATTAATGCAAATAAAAAACTGCACTGTCAGAGAGATATAGAAGGAAATAAGTCACTGTGCGTATATATATATATATATGTATATATAACATTAGAAAGTAGTTGATAGATGAAGTTGAGCACTATATATGTATAGTATATGTACTTGTAATTTGTGTGTTTGATTAAGAAAAACTTGTTCAGTTTTTCTTATAATTGTTTTAAATGTCCTTTTTTTAAATACGAATAAAGTTTGTTTAAAAAAAAAAATAATCCAAACTTTTAAAATTACTTTAAAATAATTTTTCCCACTATCCATCTATTGATCACACTGGCTAAGAAGTCATGGAGATAAATTGCAACAGATCTGGAAGACACCTGGTTTATAAAACTATTAGAGGCAGGTTGCAAAAATGCCAAGGTCCACCAGATGAGACAAAAACATTCTAATAATTTGCTACCATCCAGTTCTTGTACTTCATGTAACCTTAAAAAAAATATCAAAACTTGATGCCCAACAATTAAGCATCTTAGTGGGATGTTCTCACTTGCTTTAGCCTGCCCAGAATTATCCTATGGACTGTTGCATCTCTTTTTCTCCTCAAAGACTTTTTTTTAATCCTATCACTTTTTTTCCTATCACTATTGTTATGGAAAATCTTTAGACCATAAGCCACGGAGCATTGGAAGGATAATAATTTCATGTTTCAACTAGTGATTTGAAAGGTAAAGGTACTATTTCCTGGTGGTTTATTCTCTGCAGCTGTGTCCTCTTTCCTGTAGAATTCTACTTTTAAATTTCTACGCCCTGATGATAAGTCAAGTCATAGCAAGCTAGCAGAAATTGCAGGAGGATGTGAGCTACGGAAATGCAAAGATTTGTTTCATGTGTACAACACAGGTGCATCCTCTTATCTGTGAGTCAGTGCCTCTTAAGGTAGATAGCAGAATCATACCTATAGGCCAGTATAGTGGTAAGCAGTTCTTGGTCTCTTTCTTCCAGACAGCAAATATAAAATAGAAGGGAGACCGTATAAACACTATTCAGTTGAATTTTAGGAATAGATGAAAGTCTAAAGTTTTATTCCTGTTAATGTTTTATTTTCCTAACCTACCATTTTTCTTGTTAATTATCAGTTTGGATTTTTTTTAAAAAATATATCACAAGCCTCGTTTTCATATGGAATGGTCCTAATATGCAGATTTTCTATAAGCAAACCCTCTGGATTGTCAGGCACGAACAACCACAACCACATCCACACATGCAGAGTTGAAGCTAACAACTTTATTATCTACTGCCTATAATACAGGAATCTGCCCAGTCTGGCAGCCTACTCTTGGGAACAATTAGATAAGGCTCCAAAAACCAGGAGTGTGGAAGGGGGGGGGGGATTGTCCTAGCCTTTTTGCAGTTGAACAGTGATTCTGCACTTGATCTCTTCTCCCTGCCCAGGTGCTTCCCAACATAGTTTATGTGCTATTTTCATCAGAATATGCATTTTATGTATATTTTCTCCTTATTGGTTTAGTCTTTCCCTTTGATATGATGATCCATATACAACAAGTCTAGCATTGCAATTTGGGTTATCAGCAAGGCATAAAACATCTAGTTCTGACATGTAGAGCAGAGGTGACCTTGAAGGTCAATGAATACATGTGAAAAGAAGAGCCCTGGTGGCGCAGCAGACTAAAGCACTATTAACATCAGCTGCCTACAATTACTGCAAGTTCAAAACTCACCAGGCTCAAGGTTGACTCAGCCTTCCATCCTTTCTAAGGTAGGTAAAATGAGGACCCAGATTGTGGGGGCAATAAGCTGACTTTGTATAAATATATACAAAAGTATGAAGGCTATTGCTTAACACATTGTAAGCCGCCCTGAGTCTCCGGAGAAGGGTGGCATATAAATCAAATTAAAAAAAAATAAAAAAAATATGGGGATATTATGAGAATTCTGACAACAGAATTGTCATTTGGGGAGGGGTCAGTTGTAAAACACCCAAAGTATTCTTTCTCATCCCATCTTATCTTTTCCTGGGTTGGTGGATGGGTAAACCTCCAACCAAAGAATTTGTCTGCAATGACTAACCATTATTATTTGCTAAAAATTCTTCTGCTTGGATCTATGGAAATAAAGCTGGTGCTGAGACAGGCACTTTGCATGGCAGCGTGCTAGTTTTCATTTCATTTTTTAATTAAAAGAATCTAAAAAAAAAAAAAATCAGAGACGGGTCCCTGACATCAACATGAAATCAGTCTCAGGCACAATACTGTTATCAGGTAATAAGGCACCAGGCTAAAAACCAGGAGACTGTGAGTTCTAGTCCTGCCTTTAGCACCAAGCCACCTTAACCTTGGGCCAGACACTCTCTCTCAGTCCTAGGAAGTAGGCAATGGCAAACTACTTCCAAAAAACCTTGCCAAGAAAACTGTAGGAACTAGACCACGCCATTGCTAGGAGCCAACACTGACTTAAAGCACATGGATAAACAAAAAGATATCTGAGAGTCTCCAAACCAACCTAATCAGCAGGCTGTTGGAAGCCCAAGCAACTGTAGGATCATACTTTCATCTCTTCTATTTCAAGCAGCATCCTCTCACCCTGAACTCCAAAAGATCCATAATTTAAAATTCAAGAGAGAAATAAAGTTTTACAAAAGAAAGAACATCATCCACCTACTTCTCTGCACGCACCCTCTGGAAACATCTGTGATTCTACAAGAGCCACTGCTTTGAAAAGAGTCACTCCCTCTAATGTGGAACCATTTTAAATTACAGCATGGATTTTTTTTAACAAAATAAAAGCGACTGAAAAGCAAGACACTTTGTATATGATCCCAACCCTCATAATTTATTTGCATGCAGTCAAGATGTACAGAACATACAGTATAATTGTACGCAGTTGAAGAGTGCTGAAAAATGAATACAAAAGGTCTGTTTTTCTGACATAATGGAAATAGAGCCTTTTCAGGGAGGGGCATCTATTTTTTTTTAATCCAATTGTACAAACTAGCTGTCTTATTAGACTAACACGCTTTCATTTAATTTGGCCTTGACAATGACTCTTCACAGAGCATCAGTAGAATACAGATTGAAATCCTAACAATAACAGCAGCAGCATTTTGCTTTCTGCATTTTCTGTTCAAGGACTTCAGAGTGCTACACTGTTATTATTGATTCAGTTCTTATAGCAATTCAAAGGGTTTTTTTTCATACATTACTCTGCAGGGTGCAAACATCCAAACTTTTCAAACTTTATTGCCTGGTGTAAACTATGTGTACTGGTATATAGGTGCCCTGAAAATAGCAGTAGCAGATCTGAGAGAGAGCTGAGTTAAAATGGTGGCCACCAATCTGTGAATGTACAAATGTATGCCGGCATAAACTGTGCTGTCTCCATTGTGGAATCTCGTTTTGCAGAAATAACTAGGATGGTGAAAGGGAACTAGCCTAATGCACATATTCCAGTCCAGGCAAAGATCCTGGACTGATAGATTCTCCCCATGTCATCTGACCTCTCACCAATCAGGTCTCTTGATGCTCCTGCATAGCACAGCCATTCTTCTGCATTTGTGACCAGCTCGTCTATTTACAAGCACAGGTCTAATGCTGTCCTCAAGGAGCACTAAACTCACATTCAAATATAGCCTGGCTAATAGGTGACAAGCAAAGAGAAGGGAAGCAGGATGAAATGGGAAATCAAACGATCAGAATAGAGTTGGAAGGTACCTTAGAGGTCTTCTAGTCCAACCCCTTGCTCAAGTAGGAGACCTATATCATTTCAGACAAATGACTGCCTCCAGTGATGAAGCATCCCCATAATAATAATGATAATAAGTAAGCTTCAGTACCAATAGTACTGCTAGGAAATACTGGCAAGAAATAGCCAGGGAGTCTATTTGGGCCAACAGCACCCCAAAATAACTGATATACTCTCAATTGTGGTTTGATTATGTCTAATAGGAGTAGCCAGCACTATTAAAAAAAAAAAACACCTAACAGCCATGCAAAATTTCTTGTTGATAGAAGCAGTGGAAAAGTTGCAATGCATCCAATTGGAACAGAACTAGCACCACACAAGCTGACTGAGGCCAGTTTTTAATTCCTGGTTTAAATTGATTTCTGTACTGCATAGAACTAGCTCTCTCTCTCTCAAGAGAGTTATTGTCTTCATCATAATCATTTCTAGAAACTAGGTGAGAAAGTGGCCCACAATTATATTGATCATTTGCCTCCAGTGATAGTTATCTAATTGGCTGACACACTTTGCAAGCATCATCTCCTACCAATATCCTGCAAAAATTGACCCCAATTTTTCCTGTCCTTGACCAGTCATGACAGAGAAGAATGAGCCCTGTAGTGAGCAGTGTTTTGAGGACTCAGACTTTGTGTGAGAGATTAATGTTCACTTGCAGAAAACTAAATTTTGACAATTCTATTTTGAGTACCATTTCACCTCAAATCCTGCAAAATGTCATTTTCACAGAAAAGAAATCAGAGAAGAACCAAGCATGGAGCAATCAATTGTTTTAATTATATTTTAGGTTGCTTTGCTCGGTCAGATTTCAGACTCCTAAAAATCATTCTGATGCAGTTATTTTCATGATTAATAGCAGCAACCAAAATTACTTTCTAGGTCTGTATATTCTCATCAAACAAATACAAAAGAACCAACCACATCCTTTATTAAGAAAAACCTATTTACGTCCTTTGTCCTAAAGTTTCATCTCCTAGAGACTACCTGGTAACTAAGGTTACTTGTATGGTAACTTGTCAATAAACTTGATATGCCTTAGAGCAATCAAATATAAGAACAGAGGAATACAGCTATTTCAACGTTAGATCTGCTAGCATTCTGTTGTAAAGAACTGCACTTACCCACAGTCTATTAGTATCCTACACTCATGGATAAAGAACTAAATAAGATATGTGACTGCTACTGACCTCTGTCTCTGACTCATGTTTCTTGGTAGCATCTAGTGAAAAATTAGCTAGAATATGATGTCATTTCACTCAGAGTTTCTCCACTCGTTGTTGTGTTCATTTTTGTTACTTATAGAGAAATTATGGCATTGCATCAAACAAGGTCTTTCCCCAGATTTTCTTCATTTTAGGCGGCATTAATTAGTAGCTATGTGTCCTATCATGTCTGGCTTGGGCCTTAAAATATATTAGCAATAGCTAAGAAAATACAGAAATAATGCTAGCTGTTCCTAGTGAATCCACATTTCCTGTAACAACTGCACACTAAATTTTTATCCTTAGATGGCAGAACCCTGTATATTGCAGACCAATCAGGTATAGGAAGAAATCAGATAATTTTTAAAAGCTACATGCTGTATAGCTGTGAACATTTTCAATGAGAAAGAAGCTTAAGGGAACTTTCTCTAAATTATTTTCTTTCTGATGTGTTGAACAATTCCCAGAACCCCTAATCACATGGCAGTGCTCATGGCAACTTGTTGTTTAAAATATCTACGTAGCACAGTAGGTAAGAAAAGTATTAGTTGAAATCTGATGGAATGAAAAACTTCCAAGCATTGTGAACTGTAGACCTGGATAAGTGGCATGTTAATGCTGATGAAAGTTGGCCACAGGTATGAACAGAAGAGGCAGTATGGAAACCTCTTTTCAATATATTTTACAAGAAGGCATATAGGATGAATAATTTGATAAACATGAAACAAAGTCTTTGATAAGATAATCATCTTATTAGATAAAGATCAACTTCCCAACCTTCATATATATGAGCCTCAATTCCCAGAATTGTTGGCAATGACCATGTTAAATTGGAAATGTTGGGAACTGAAGTTCATACATCAAGAAAGTGCTAAAATTGTGGAGCGTGATATAGACAATGATTATTCTCTCTCACACACACACATATATTTTGTAGGGTGGTGTAACTTCAAGACTTGAACAAAGACAGCAGAATTTTTCAGAGAAAGACTAGTTGTTCAAACAATTTGACAGGGAATGGCTATATCCAGTGACCAGAGAGTAACAGCTGGTTACCATGGGATGCTAAAAATGGAATATTATGTGGAATACTAGGAATAGAAAGGAGAATGTTTGCTTTACTTGCTGCATTTGTATCCCATCATTCCTTCCACATCTCAAGCCAATTGAAATAATATTGCTTGTTCTATTTTATCATTACATAAGCCTATGGAGTAGGTTAAATTGAAGACTACTGGAACCAAATAGAGGGAGAGATGGTGGAAGATTACCAATAGCTTTCTTCTTGCTCTTCTTTCACCTGATGGTAATACTCTGGGAATGCCCCATCTTTGTTATGGTGTCCTTTCTTAGAAACAATCGATGTAGCATCTCAAAATTTGGAGCCAAACTATAATGTGGTAGAAGAGGATGGTTAAGAGTGACATTATTTTATAAGAAGAATGAGGCTGCAAGATGACCTTCTAACTCACAATTGCAATGCAACACGGACTTTAGGAAATCCCCAGGTATAAGTATAGGACCAGTACCTACATTTCAGAATCTGCTGTCATATCATTTGGACAAAGGGTCTTCCTCATATTGTGATACAGTATTTGTCCCTGGAGAGAGTAGCCCTGGTTGATGGTAGAAGACATAGGGTCCATCTCTTGTCTTCTTGGATGTGTTGCTTTTCTGTGAACTTTTGAAATGCTTTTCTTATTTGTTCATTGCTTTAGTTCATTAATGACATTCAAACTGGAGACAATTAACTTTGCAAGTAATCTGGAATATTAGAGAAAATACAATCAAGTATTACTATTTTGCAAAGTAACTCTGAATTGATATCTTTACTGAGATACATTTTCCCTCTAAAATTTGATAATGTTTTTCCTGCACATCAAGAAGGCAATACTTTTAGACCATAATCTAGAAAAAGAAAACAAATCGTGCATTTCAATTACAAAATCAATCTGCATTAGGATTTCCTCAGCTTCGGGATGTATATTCATTGTCATGAAGTAGTGGGAGAGACATATATTACATAGCTGAATTAATGCTAGGATTAAGGTTCTTAAGGCTGCTTCAGAAAAGGAAGCATTCACTACTCCCCAAAGCCATTTGGGGAACTTCCTGACTTTGATGTCTCTGTACTCACAATGCAATTTATATACATTTGGGGAAAGAAGAAGAAAAATCTGTCGTCTTATTTCTTCTCCTGTTATTTCTTCAGTCTCTAGTGATTTTGCCTATTTATTGAAAAGCAACTTAAAAACAAACAAATAATATTTTGCTCTGCAGATTTATGATGAAAAGATGATATAAAACCATTATTCTTCTAGCGCTTAGTGATGAGGGGTGGGAGGGAAGCATGTTAACAAAGGAAATGCCTTTCAGTCAGATCATAATGTTCCCTGATGTTCAGCTGGAATGGTATAAAATGTGCTTCTAATGAAAGCAAGTGAGAAGGTGAAGAAAACTAATGAGGGTGTTCCTCTGCACTGGAACACCACTTAGGAGCTCTATGAACTTCTGTGTTAGGAGGCTGCACAAATTAGGTCTGATACCTTCACCTTCAAGTTCACAAAAGCCTCACTTGTGGTGTAGCAGAAGCAGTTATGTATCTTACATAATTTTCATTCCCATTATGAATCCACAATAATTTACAATAAAACCAAAACTGACTTAATTATCTTACCCTTCTTGTTTGTTTAGCGCATAAACACCTATTCCTAACCACAGTCATGTTAACACGACAAAATGTGTGCTGTGCTTTGCTCTTTCGTACTTGCAGATGATACCTAGAAATACATATGGGATGGAATTTGTGTCATGATGTCCCAATGAAACTCCATGAATGCCTCTGATTTAGTGCCCTAGGAATGTGTAAGAAATTTGGTGTAGCGCTTAAGACACCAGGCTAGAAACTGGACACTCCAAGTTCTAGTCCCACCTTAGGCATGAAGCCAGCTGAGGGACTTTGGGCCAGTCACGCACTCTCAGCCCTAGGAAAGAGGAAATCCAGCAGGTTCTGGAGAACCAGTGCTTCTGAATTGTTAATAAGCGGTCCAAAATCCTAGAGAATAAAATAGTCCAAATTAGAATTCCGATTTGAGGATCTAATACTATTATAATTTTTATAATTTATTTAAATACTTTATATAATTTCTCAATTTGCAAATAGTAACTCTTGGTTTTACATAGAGTTAAATGCATAGGTATTACTTAACAAAATACACTTAAAATAGACTTAGGACAATGTGTGAACCCAGTCTTAACTTCAGGACGAAAAGTTCAGTTACCTGTTGCTCAAAAATACAATGCAAGGGACACATTTTATAGAAGTAAATGTGGGCTGAATGCCATTATTCAAGGGATATGGAACTGGCTTGAAAATTATACTCAGAATGCTTATTAATGGTTCCTCAACTAAATGCAATAAGCTTCAGTCCTAGGCAATGGTGAAATCCAAATTATTTTACTACCGGTTCTGTGGGCGTGGCTTGGTGGGATGGTGTGGCAGGGGAAGGATACTGCAAAATCTCCATTCCCTCCCCACTCCAGGGGAAGGATACTGCAAAATCCCCATTCCCTCCCCACTCCTGGGGGAAGGATACTGCAAAATCTCCATTCCCACCTCACTCTGGGGCAAGCCAGAGGTGGTATTTGCCGGTTCTCCGAACTGCTCAAAATTTCCGCTACCAGTTCTCCAGAACCTGTCAGAATCTGCTGGATTTCACCCCTGGTGCTAGGTCTTATACCTTTCAACATTTTTATCAATAATTTAGAGGAAGAAATAATGCTTACATTTTCAGGAGAGATAGAATTAAACAGGATAGCAAATACTGCAGAAAACAGAGTTCATTAGAATTGAGCAACTATAATAAATTTGAATAAATCAGTAAATAGAAACAGAAATAAAATTCAAATTGAGCTTGAGCTCTTATAAAGTTATTATGGAGCCAAATGAACTGACTATAATTTGTGCCCAAAGTTACATCCTTTGCAGTGTTCCTGAAGTCACATGATTGTGATCTGGCCACTTGACAACTCATTTGCACTTAGAACCAGTTGCCAAGTACCTTGAGATCATGTGATCACCATTTGCAACCTTCCCTGATCTCTTCCCCAGAAAGTCAATGGGGAAGTCTGCAGGGAAGGTTACAAGCTGCTGTCGCCTGCTTAGAGGACTCCCTCTCATCTCTGGGACTGGCTGAAAAAGCTCCCTGTCTAAAGAATTTTTATAATTCCTTAATCTGCAACACTACTGCTGAGAATTCTGGAGACTGAAGTTCACACAATTGGACAAGTTACACTGTGACACAACGTTGCATGTTCATTGCGATTGGCTAGGACTGCAAGTAAACGCCCTTTCAAGTTACAAAAAAAATAAAAAAAAATAAACCAACCAACCAATTAACCAACGAACCAACCAACAAAAATTTTAAAAGAAACAACATCTGGGAAAGAATAAAATAAATATATCTTTTTGCACATTATAAAATTGTCTCTTATCATATTAAAAAAAAAATGTAAATTTGATACAGTACTGAGCTTGCACTGTTCTTTCCTTCCAACACATGAATTCAATCAAGTGTAAATAGAAAGAAATTAAAAGGAGGAAAGCCCAAAATTCCAGATGTAACATTTCACAAGCTTTCTCTCAAAAACAAACAAACAAAAAACACAGAGAAGAAATGGGCAACAAGTGGAAGTTTCCTACAACCTCTTCTAAGTATGTTTAATTTTCAGGTAAGTGTAAGATTATTTTCCCAGCTATGCAAGAATGAGTCACAAGGGGGAAGGGGTAATAAAAACAGAGCATATCATCATACAGTATGACCAAAATAGCAGAAAACCCTTGGTTAATAACCATTAACGCCACATACTAAATACTCAGACTTCTTTTTTAAAAAGGTAAATGATTACTCCTAAGCACACTTGGAGCAACCTATCTAACAGTTCTGCCAAGAAAAAAACAGCTTCTGTTATCACCGGTACACAACCCAAATGATCAAGAATGATGGCTAATTTGGTCTACTATCACTCAAGTCCAATTTAAAAGGGCAAAGCAAAAAGACAAGATACGAAAGGAGAATATTGGGAGACGGGATAGCTTCAGGCTATTGTTAATGATGGGAAAGAGAAGCTTTAATGCCTGCATCAGTGGGTTTTAATTTGTTTCAGGTCAGTAGTGGCAGGAAGTCATTAACATATGATAGCTATTTCTTTTTCTGAGTTTACTGTCTCGGTCTTTATCCTAATACATTGATATCCACCTTACAAAATTTACCAGCCTAATTGGCACCTTTGCGACAGCCTTAGTCCTCAAATGTATAGCCAGAGTGAATTCAATCTAACATTGTGAATGCTGTTGTGGTTCCAGCTCTGCTGAAAGCAAAGAAAATCTAACCTGCATAATAGAAGCTCTGTGTGGACTGCACTCTGATCTGCATTCCTCTCTAGCCCTAACCTGAGCAATACTGATAGCCCAGAATGACATGCAAAAGCCATCTGAAACACTGGTTAGAAGTTTGTGACAATTCACAAACACAAAAGCAATTAAGGGAGCACTTTCCACAAAAATTAAACTTAGAAGATAGAAAGGGGCATTTTAAAGCACTTTACAAAATGCAAATGGTTTTATTGTTTAGCTTTTTATGCAATTAAATTATTCATCAGGGCAGATCTTGGATGGTGGGGTCGTTAATTCATTTTGTGTGTGGTGCATGTGTACTTGCATGTTCGTATGCATCCAATTCTGGAGCAGCACATCATAGCACAGGTATCTCTGAATGAAAATGAATATATATGCTCTGCATATTTCTATTGCAAGAATACTTCATAATATTGTACCTAAAACTTTACCCCACTATTGATTTAAAATGCTATTCATCCATCCAACCATCCATCCAACCATCCATAAATCAATGCCAGCATTCAATTTGCTGTTCCTGTTAACAGTCATTTTCCTGCCTTCGTTGCATTTGCTCTGAATCATCACTGAATGGTGTCCCAGTTTTCAGGGTTTTTTTTATCCCTCCATCATTGTTTGTGAGAATACTAGGCATTAGAGGCAGACTGATTTTTTTTCCCAGTGAGGCAGACACTAAAGCAGAAACAACCCCAAAGAGGATGGAGATAGATCTGCCATGAATGTGATTCTCAAACAGCAGAACTGAACATGAGCAGCTGCTGAACTATGCATCTTAATTCTAGAGAGGGTTGGAGAATAAGTGACAAATATAGTGAAGTGGCAAATGCTACAAAAGCCTGGTTCAACTCCCCTCATTACTTTCTGGGTAGCCCTCTGTTTTCCCAAATATTATACTAGAGGTTTGCTGAGCTCAATTTTACTGGAAACAAATTGGAGCCAATTTGAATCCGGCTCCAAATTTGGCTATGCAAAGGAGATACATATGAAAGGAGCACAGAAAAAATGAGTGGTAAGTAGTCAGTGGAGACAGGGTTCCAAACAAGAATAACTCCAAATAGGAACAAGTAATAAAGACCCCAGAGTCTAAACATGGGCTTGGCTGGTAAAGAATATGTCAAAACATATTTCCAAAAATGATGTACAAGCAACTCTGCAAACTTAACCAAAATCATGAAAAAAAAATCCCAGAGTCCCGTCTGTCTGCTTAAAACTATAGTTTGGGCAAATTCTCAACACAGCAACAAATTCAAGATAGGATTTGCAATATGATTATGAACATGGAAAACATAAAGCCATTGGGTAGATCTCAAGGATAACCTTGCTTGTTGTGACCCTCATGGATTTTTAACAAAACATTCTATTTGCAATATTCTAAGTGTAGTGGGGTGCAGACACATCTAGTCTGTTTTTGTTTTCTGGTAAACACCTCGAGGAAGCCAGCTTGAAACAAAATGGTACATGAGGCACATAGTATTCATACAATAATTCAGTAGACAGAGGGCATTGGTTAAAAAATGTAGATTTAAAATGAATAGTACCTTACAAATTGCCTTTTTCCCTTTTGTTGCCATGACAGTTGAAGTAGCCAACCTAGAAACTGTAACTAATAGTCATTGTTTAATGAATTTTTGGTCACTTCATTCCAGAGCCCATGCTCTGTTTAAATTCAACAGATTTTTGTCTGCTGGTCTGTAAAGTATAGAAAAAATACCCTTTGATTAAATGGATAACAGAATTGCTCTGTGTTCTAACAGCTCTTTCTCTGTAATACACATGATTTGTCATTAGCAAACAATGAAGGCTTTGGGAAGTGGATCTTTTTTGAGTGAATATTCGTATGAGTGCACAGTATATATTTATCCAGATCATCCTCTTCTGTCCTTCGCTGCTGATCACGTGGGCTTAGAATTGTAGCTTAGCAATATCTAGAAGAGCACACTTTGTGTTTTTATGAGTATGAAAGCTATACAGATCTTTCCCAACCTCATGCTCCCCTAATGCCTTAGGACCACAACTCCAGAATTCTCAGCTGGGCTTGATAGGAATTCTAGGAGATGTGGTAGACTCACCACATCTGAAGAATATTAGATTGCGGAAAGCTGAGTTGCAGCATTGACACACCCTTGAAAGTGAAATCAATGAACTCTTAAATGAAGAGGAAGAAGATCCCAAACAGATGTAGTTTGTGACAACGCAATTGTTGAACTATAATTGTCCTGGCTTCCTCGAATGCAGGCAGTTGTAACTTAGCAATATATAGGAGAACACAAGCTGTCTGTTTAATAATCTTATGATTACCAATTTGAGAATAAATCCACACATATCCTAGGAGATATGCATGTTACCAAAGTGCAAAAATATTCAATACACACTCAGGAATAATATATCTGGGCTGCTGGATGACCACTGGATGATAGATAACAGATGTTACTGTGCAGATTTCTGCAGCACAGATATAGTATTCCCCAATGTATAGTAAAAGCTATAGATTAGTAGAAAAAGCTAAGCTCCTGGAGCTATTATTGCACCAATGTAATTCTAATTACATTGTATGTACAATATGTTGTGAATATTCCGACATTATTGCCAAAGACTAGTATTAATACAGAACAATGCTAGTTGTACTATGACTAGCGTAGTACAATGCTAGTCATGTATCACAGAACTGCACTGTATTCAGGCACCATGAACAAATTGATACATAGATATAATTGTGTTTGCAGCTTTTCCATAGCTTTTCATCTAATCTAAGTATCTGCAGAACTATGATGAGTCTTAGAAAGGAGCCATAATAATCAGATTCTTGTTAAATCAAGAACTAGTAATGCACCTCCAGAGGCTGCTGAATGATAACTTTCAGCAGCCCAAGCCTTTGTGACCATTCTGTTGAGAGATGCAGTTCAGCAACCTGGCTAAACTAGACTGGTTCTCCCAATTGGACTGGGGTCCCAAGGGTGGGTGCGTGTGTGTGTGTGTCACTCTGGCGGTGGCTATCTGGTTTAGAGAAGACCCTACATCTCCCATGTTCTTGCTCCCTTCTCCCCCCTCCATCTTTTAATAACTCATTATTATCATTATTGATTTGTTTTACCTTTTACTGGTTTTAATGTTTGCAAGCCACCCAGAATGATTTCTAGATGAGATGGGTTACACACATCAATCAATCAATCAATCAATAAGCAAACAAACTTCTGGAGGATCGCGCACTAAATGTCCACATCACAGGGAGACAAGAATCAACAGGAAAATATTAAACTATTCTATTACTTGCTGAAATATTCTTTTATATGGACTTTTCTTGTTACACTGGTGTAATCTATCTATCTACCACCTCCAGCACTTTCTTGCATTACGTTTCATGGATTGTATCTATTAAATCAGTGTAAGAACTACTGAACCAATACTTTTTGCAGTAAAAGTCTTTGGAGTTTGATCACTATTTAAAAATAAGACAGGGAAAAATAATTATGCTGCTGAAATCAAGCCTATCGGTTCAGGCTGAAGCTTTTTAACAAACTGTAAACATGGAGGAGGGATGAGCCCTGAAAAGAAAGCATGCCCTTGAGCTCTCTCTGTGGGCTGGTTCTAGTCTGTTGATATTCACTGAATGTCTTTTACTTCAGGAAGGCAAAAAGTGGTGGGACCTGATAAGGTAAACAGTTCCTAATGGCTTTAAATTAAAAAACAAAACAAGAAACATGGCAGGCTCCTTTAAGAAAAAGAGCCAAATAAGAATGATGAGTCCCTGTACGTAAGGAGGATAAAAACCACAGAAATATAGTATGATCTACTGCAGTGTTAAATAAAGATCCTTTCTTGCCTATCAGTCTTAGAAAAATTGCAGATATACAAGCACTCTTCCTTAGCACAAACATGATCACTTCTCTACTCCAGCTAGCTAAGCCATTTCCAAAATAAATATCCTTCATTGCATTTTTATTATATGGATTATCATCAAATAGCAAAAAGCTTGAGGATATGAAATGCTTGTAGAAAATCAGAACCAAAAAGCAACATCAGAACCTCAGAGTTAGTAGCAGGAAGTCTTCAGATCAGTTAGTACTGTATTATTGCTGCTGATTTGCTTTGTCAGTTTCAAATGTAAATGGCAAAAGGAACAAGGAAAGAGAAAAGACTATTCTGATATCTTTCTTCTCAGAAATAGAGTTATTTTTAGAGAGGATTGATTTAACGTAACTATGTAACTCTGAGGCTGCTTTCTTAACTGCCAAATTCTGTTTGGCTTCTGTGTCATAAAACCTAATGGTAAAAGTAATATTTAAATTATACCAATTCGGAGAACTCAAATCATATTTCTCTTAGTTTGTCCCATCTCAATATAAATCACAGTAGGACAATTATTTTGAGGCGTAGCAAGTTATATACCACTCGATGGATATTATTAAGACAGGTGTTCGCATTCTTGGGTGGCCAGGTTTTATTTTGCTTTTTGGAGGAAGGATGAAGGCTGGAGCACAGGGAAATGAGCCAAAGAAATCAATGGCACCAAAGTGCTGGGTGTGAAATGCTGGTCAATTGAAACCCAACCCTCTTTTAACACAATAGGTATATTACATGCATCACAATACATAAAAAAGGTCCAAGCTTTGATCATCCAGCCACACTCACTGTTTTGATAAAGTTGATCCTCCTTGCAGGCAGTCCTGCTGTAGCAGGCAGGACAATAATCCAAAGTGAGAACTACCATGTCACACATCTGCCTTTAGCTTGCCCATCTCAAATATTACCTTAAACTGTTTATCCCAAAGGTGCTTTTCCAAAGACTTTGCTTTTTTCCTTGAAAACATTTTGCTTCTCATCGAAGAAGCTTCAACACCTTTGGGACAATCATGATCTGGATGATTTGAGAATCTCCAGACACTTAAACTGTTAATATAAGTGTATAATCTTGAACTAATATTCCTTAGCCTAAGGTAGGCTTGTCTTATGAGAATCAAACTTAAGGGAATATTGTATACTTTCAATGGAGCAGCTAGAGGAAAAAAATGGGATATTAACCCAACCACCATAAGGGGCATGATGGCTCAGTGGTTAAAGACGTGAGCATGTCAGCTGGAAAGCTGACAGCCTGGGTTCAAGACCCAAGCACTGCGCAAAGGGTTGAGTTCCCATTCATTGACCCAGTTCCTGCCTACCTAGCAGTTCATATTACAGGTGATAACATTACTAAAATTGTCTTAAAGAAGAAGGCAATTTCTTTATATATATATCTTCTTTTTTCTTAAAAAGATAAGAATATATCTTAAAATATATATATATTCTTTTTTCTTTTGTTTCTTCCACCCTTTTTATTTTGTTATATTTTTGTAAGTTTGTATTAGTTTTTTATCTTGTAAACTTTAATAAAAATTATTAAAATAAAAAAAGCATGAAAATGCAAGTAGATAAATAGGTACCACTTGAGTGGGAAGGTAACAGCATCCCATGCACCTTTGGCATAGAGCCATGTTGGTCACATGACCAAGGAAATATCTTCAGACACACTGGTACTGGCCAGGAAATGGAGATGAGCAACGTGCCCTAGAATTGGACACAACTGGAAGGAAAACTTTACCTTTAATCTAACCATCAGGCAAAGCATTCTAGTGGATGCAAAGGAACTGATCTTTAATACTCTTAAGTCAACTTTCCAAAAGTAAGTTATAGCTGGCCCTGCAGTCCTGTATAAGATTCATAGAACACCAACACTCATTCTGAGGAAATAGACACAATCCTGTTGCACATTCCATTGGAATTCAATGTTTTCTCTCAGTGGGTTGTGCAATCCAAATGTGTATTAACTTAGAAGAATTATGTTTCATGAGGTTTATGCCCAAATTACGTTGGGCCAATTGAAGTATTTTGTATGATGGGGGCTTGATTTAGCAGTTGTTTGATCTAGAAAAAGAAAAGATCAGACCTACCTAGTGCTTGAATGGATTACCATCTTGGAACTCCAGGACTAATGGCTAAATTGAGAGGAAGAAGCAACATTCTGGAAGAAGCAATGGCAACCCACTTCTGTAACACGGCCAATAAAACTATACTGATGCAGTCAACAAAAGTTAATCCCAATTTCAGAGAACCTTTACATTTTTTGCATAAAATGTACATTAAAATTAATTGCAAATGAACTGGAACCCCTTGTTTCGAATGGTTAACTTCAAACATCAAGTTCTATATTTAAAGATGTTACTCTGAAGAAATTGTATTTCTGCATATTGCCAATATAGTTTATACATTCATCTGCTTCGCAGCAAATCTATGAAGTTTGGATTATTGATATTCTAAGCAGGATGGACAGAAAGGCTGCTGTCAAAATGTAACTGAAAGACAAGATTTTGTAGGTACAACTTTATTTGTGACCATTATCTCTTATGTATGAGGACATATTATTTTATTTTATTCGATTTTAAATTTTGTATATGTATGTGTTTTATTTTATGGCTGTTCACCGCTCTGAGTCCTTCGGGAGTAGGGCGGTATAGAAATTCAATAAAAAAAAATAAAAAAAATAAAAAATAAAAAATAAATAAATAAATAAATATATATATATAAATATATAAATATATATACTCCAAGCTGTGAAAACATGCCTCAATAGATGTAAGGAATATTAGATATAAATTGTACATTTTCAACTTTTAAGTTTTGAAGATATATGTCCTGTACAGAACTATAATCTTTTCTAATATTTAACCATAGTTTCATAGGTACAAACAATGGCTTGGTCACAGCCATTGTCATTGCATTGGCTTATGCAATTCTATAGAGCTATGACCCTCTGGTATAAATTATTCTTCTCTCTGAGCAGCCAAAGTTAAGGTACATTCTGAAAAACCAGATACAAAGTCATACAGCTTATTTTTTCCTAGCAAGCGCAGATTTGTGAAGAACTATGAGTGTGCGGATTTCAGTACTGCTCATGTGCATTCATGAAATATTGACTGAAAACAAATCCTGGTTCCAGATTCCAGTAGTTGGTTTTATGAAATCCAACTACTAATCTTGTAATATTTAGCACAAAAATTGTCAACATTTTTTCATTAAAGCATGGTGTAGTATTACCATCCTTAAGGAAGAACCTATATTGAAAAAGTGTTTAGTTTTCATCAGTTTGCATATTGTCTTCATTTCAGAAGCTCTGAAATATTTGCATTAAGAGCTAATAGAAAAAATCTGAATGTGGAAGTTCTAGATTTGGACCCAACATTTGTTATAATAAAATGTATTATCTTGGACTATGTAAAACAAATATATAGGTAATGAAGGCTTATAAGAAGAAATGAACATGTGAGTGGGGAAGGCAGTAAGGAACAAAAATGACCCTTGTTTTACAGCAGTCCTATTTATGCTTACCTGGCAATCAGTGATACTAAGAGAGGGAATATTGCATCCAGGAAAACAGGCACTTGCAGGTGAAAATCTGAGTGCATTCAAGGTGCCCATGGATAACATGGCTTGGGGTGCGTCTTCAAGAGTGGGGATGGCTGGTTTATATCACTTGGTGTTCCGGGAATAGCCATTATTCACTAAGCATCCTGTAACAGAAGCCTAAAACAGTTTTGGCTTCTAAACAGAAGCCTACTGCAAAGCAGCACCAAGAACTGTATGCATATAATTTATCAAGGGTTCCCAGAATGAGATCCAATTAAATACAGTATAGATAAGACAATCAAGCAGATGGGAGATATTTCCGCCATGCAGGTATTTGCAGCATTGATCACCTTAGAAGACAGGGCCATCCAGCTAGTAAAGAGACAACCCCAGTTTTTAACAACATTCTACTCCCACTTCATACTCATAACCTTAACCCTTTCCAAAGCACCTGGTGGCTATGCACCTTTTAAGGTGTAAAGCCCATAAAGCGAAATCAGTGCATTTTGAACTAAAAATGGCCCGGATGATGTGGGTCTAGTTCTTTTCTTACTTCACTTTGCGGCCGACTGCAACACTTCGCTGGCTTTCTGATTTCCCCTGGTTGAGCCCCGCGTTTCCCAAAGGGCGGGAAAGGAAACGTCCGGAGATTTAAACTCAGGGCCAACCAATAAACCTTGGGTTAATTACGGACTAAGGCGCAGGGCGCCACGTGCCCTGGCGGCGAAGAGAATCGCAGGCAGCCCACAGATACCTTCAGCCACCTGGCGTTACCGAGAAGCGCACCTTCTCCCGCCTCCGCCCCACGAAAAGTTAAACGTTGGCACTCGCAGTTGGCTTAAAAGAAAGGTGGCCAAGAAAAGGAAAGGAAGAAAAAGAAAAATCTCCGCCGTTCCAAAGAGGAGATCTCTCAGGGAGAAGGGCTCGTGCTTGTGAATAATTGAAAGCCCGCAACTAGATGAATGAATGGGGAGAACCTCTCTGCAAAACAGGGAGTTGACGGAAAGGGGGGGGGGGGGCGAAGAGACACAGCTAGCTCGTTAATCGTCTTCCCCGGGGCGAGGGCTGACCCAGGCTGCCTTTCAAGGTATCATTGTAACTAATAAACAGAGAAGCCCTTCCGCAGCGCCACTTTCCGTAAGCCTCGGTCGGACGTCAACCTCATCCCTTTAGAAGGGCAGCCTTCGGTCATCTGACCCTTCCAGATGCTTTGGGATGCCAGATTTCAACCCCGCCGCGAATTCTGGGACTCGTGATCCTAACGCATCTGGAGGACGTCAAGTGGAGGAAGGCTGCCCTAAAGGGAGATCCTGCGAGGCTCCAAGAGCTTCCACGACGGCCCATAACGAACGCGCCACTTATGCGGGACGGCCCGGGTGCTTCCCCAAACGACGAGCAACCGAGCTCGTATTTCGCGAAGAACGACGCCGTCAGCCCCGCCTCGGCCTTTAAAATGGGCGTTGTGGTAGTGTTCGTGAATTCAAGGCACCGAGCTGCACGGCCAACTGGTGCTATGCCGCCTAGCTCTCCGAGAGAATTGGGCGGGAGCCGGTGCGCGAAGCCTCGAATGATAGTCCTGTTCCCCAAGGGGTTCCTCTCCTCAGAGCTCAAAGGCGCGCGTTTTCGCTCGCCCTCCAAAAACTACGCGGAGATATATACACACACACACACACACACAAACGGCCTTGTATGCCGGGCAGCCTCTCCTTGCCCTACAAGTTGACCGAAACGTTCTCCCCTTCAGCACTCCATCAACGTCCCGTTCCCTAGTGGCCAGCCTGGTAGCCCACCGCCCCGTTCTCGTCAGCCAACCCCACGCTCTCTTTGGGGCAGAAGCTGGCCCGTTTGCCGCCCGTTTGCCCAAAGCGTTGTTGCCCCGTGAAGCTGCCGGGCCCGTTTGCCCAAAGCCGTTGTTGCCCCCTTTCCTGCCGCACGCGCAAAGTTTTTGGCGCTCAGGTCTCTCTTTCCCTGTTCCTCCCCCGCTTCTCCCGCCCTCGCTCGTCGTCGCCGCCGCCGCCTTTGCCGGGCTCTGCTCCCGCGGCTGCCAACGACAGGACAAAGGCACATTAAACACGTGATGGCGAAGGCGCTTCATAAATGGGACCAGGAGGCGAAGAAGGGGTGTGCGCGCGGAGACAGACCGTTCAGAAGAAAGGGGACGTCGGGCGAACCGCAATAGCCGGAGCAAACGGCGGGAGGTGGAGACGGCTCGGGCGCAAGGGGAAGGGGGCGGTGGGGCGCAGCTCCTTATCCTCGGGGAGCGGCAAGGAAGAGAAGCACGGGAGAAGCACATGGCGAGGGGCGCGGACAAGCAGAGGCTGGCGCACCTCCTGACTGGCTGAAGGGGGGAAAAAACCGAGCGGTTGTCCACACCTGCCTGCCCTCGCACCGCCGCCTTCTCGCACGCAACACCCCTTGCCTCTCACCCGCCTTCCCCGCCCTCCTCCTTCTCCCCTCAGTAGCGCCGGGCGAGAAGGGTCGTCGCCGGCCACCGCTTCAGCGACCTCTCTTGGGCTGGGCGTGAGGTGCCGTCAAAAGAGAACACGAGGCGCCGGCAGCCGTTCAGCGAAGACCAGCGCCCTCCGGCTTTCTCTCCCTCACTTCAAGCCGCGGCTTTGGGGAAGAGACGGTGGCCATGTGAATGTGGAGGAAGGTAAGGAAAAGGGGCGCTTTGCCTGGGTTTGCTTCTTTGCCTCGGCTTTAGGGAGGAAGCCGGTCCAACGGTAGGACGCTGCTGCGAGGAGAGCCCGCTCTTTGGCGCCCTGGCTCGAAGCCCCGTTAGGGAGAAGGCGCATCCACCCATTTCATTCCATGCCATCAAGTCAGCCGTGGCTGAGTTCCTCTAAAGGGGAACAAACTCACTGGATCATCCGAAAGGTAATGCGAGTTAATTGTTCTGCTCTCCGCAGCAGCAGCATAATAATAATAATTTAAAAAGCACTTGAGAGTTCAGCCCGCACACCGTTGGAAGACCGAGTCTCCATTGATTTAATTGTATCTGTGCATCTCTTTGAACTCCGATCCTAAGCTTCCGAATCGGTAGAACTTGCTGGCAAGTCATGTCCTCAGGTTATCAGTGAATTAAGTCGTGGACGTTTTATTTCCCATGTCTGCAGATATGTGTATTTTAAAGTGTTCCTTTAAGGTTGCTCAGGCAGCTTAATGTGTGTCTACTGTAGCAAGCTCATTGTGTGCAAATGCCTTATCAATCCATCTGGCTACCCAAATGCATATAGGTTACCTATTAAACTGCTTCTAAGCGGTTTGAGGATTGCCTACCGTAGATATTTTGGAAAATTTGAGCATGGTATCAACTGTTTGGAAACTCATCAGTTATGCCCTAAAGAATCAATAGGAACCATCAGTTGGGCATTAAACAATAATTTGCCACTGGCATTCAGAATAATGGATTGTTGCTTAAATCGTTAAATCTTCCAATACCTGATGAATCGTGAAAAGTTTTCTTTTTTGCACCCTTATAATCTGAATCCACATGCCAATGACCTTTGTTAAGATATTTGGGATTTCTTGAATTAGCCAAAAACAGACAGAAGGGTGTCTCAATGAACAGAGAAATAGTTATTGATTAATAGGAAAGCCTTTTCTTGATACCGTGTCTTGGCTCTCTATAGGCTTTAGTGTACTTCATATATTAAAGAAGAAGATAGCAAGGGATGTTTGTTCAAATTATCTAGGTTTCAATATGCCTATTTATTATTAATATGTAAAATGATTATTGGTATTTATTTGCTGCAATAGGCTAAACCTCCAAATCAAAAAAAATTGAAATGCAATCAGTTTTTTCATAGATGTTATATGTCTTAATAACAATTGTTCACCTTTATGGTTAACTGTACACTGTTCCTTTCTTCCCTTTATATTGAAGTATAATTGAGGCTACTTCAGATAAGATCAAGCCAATGTGTCTATAAAAGAAGACAAGACTGAGTAGATAACATTTTATTTCCTCTAAATTTAATTGTTTTGTTTAATGGGCATGATTTAGCAGAGGGGAGAAAATACAAGATATGACAAGAGCCAATCTTGTAGACCGGTAGTTTTGTGGTTAACAATATGTGTTCATTTTTCTCCATGCAGAGCAATCGCCTTCTAGGTTCCCCTAGGACTTTGTCAGACATAGAAGGTTTCATCTTTAATCCTAAACCTTTGGTGATTAATAATGGAAGATATTGTTATTGATTTTTCCTGTATTTCCTCCGTTCTCCCTTCACTACCAAACTCCCAACAATGAAGTCTTTAAATAGGAGAAAAATATCACAATAGTTTTTGCTCTCTGATCATCCTGGATGAAGAAATGTTTGAGGGATTGAGAGACCGAAACAAACCCAATATATTGAGAACCCAATATTGGAAAAATATTTCAAAATCTTTATTTCAAAACTAGCATTCAAAATACAGTAAAGTAAGGTTAAATTCTAATGTTAAGCATCAGGTATTTTGACAAGAATTATTTTTACAATCTCTAAAACATACGTGCTAGTATGGAACATAAATCTAAAGACAAGATAGGCAGATTTCTTAAATGGAATAGTGGCTTCTGTCATTATTCTATATTTGAAATGATGTTAAAAGAAGGAATATTCTAGTTTTTAATATAAAGCCACAGTTCATTGTACTTTAAGGAGACATTGATAATTGACCCTGTTGTTTAGTTTAAAGTATTCAAAAACACATAAAGAGATTATTAAAAAATAATAAACTAGATTTGTTCATCTCTTGATGGAAATTGTTTCTACAATTTGAGAAATCAATGTACACAGTGCACACAAATTTATTTATTTATGTCTAACAGCTTAGGTATTGTAGTGTGTGTTTTCCTTACTCTTCTTGTATCTTCTTATGATGTCATTGTTCTTTGCTTTACAGAACATGTATGTTTGCTCCTTGTATTACTGCAGTTGTTTGACCTAGGGACATGATCAAAGTAGCATGTTTACATCTAATGACATCAAAATAAGAAAATGGTTAGCACTAGAACAATTAGCTGAGAATATTATTTTTCACAGATATAGCTGGAATGATATAGGTTTGCCTTTTTACAAGAAGAGATAAAACTCATTAGTGTGATGACAGCTCATATTCTGCAGTGGGTTTAAATTAACTATAGGAGAAAAGGCATGAGCATCTAATTAGTTTAAAGCCAGATTTACACATGTTAAATCACATTAACTTGAGAGGAGCTATGTAAGAAATGCAGAGGATAGTCTTAACTATACTGGAAAGAGAATACACTTATATTCATAAACAATAATTTCATTTAATGCTAATGAGTATTTGAAAAAATCTAAAAACATCCAAATATAGAAGAGTATTTTCTATCAATGTGCACATAAAATCTTTGATAACATCTCAAATATATTGGAAAATAATGTAATAAGTAAATAATTTTACCAAAGCTGAACAAGATCCAGTATTTGAGAAATTTAAGCACAATCTTAAATTTACTTATGAGATCAAATTTGAATGGGACCTTCTGTCAAGATTTCATTGTACCTTGTCTTTGAATTTCTTACAGTTGTTCTTTTAATCATAAAGTTACTTCAGTTGCATGGATGATGTGTCCTAAGTGAAACCTTCCTTATGTTGTTGAACTTGGAAAATTAGCCAACTAAATTTTAAAAAGAGATATAAACCTTCCTTAATTTCATATGACATAATATTGTTTAAGAAAATCTAGTTAATGTTGCCAGTTCCTTGAAAGTTTGGGTTCTAGTTAATTTAGTACTTAAAGAAAGATTTGCAAAATGTTAAAATGTGAGCAAAAATCGCAACCATATTAGTACTTTGTTTTTCCACAGGAGTTTCATTCTGAGTATACAAGACTATTGCATCTACTTTCCTACATCTCACTAATTTATTATGTGAAAAGTTAAAAAGAACCCTAAAAAACTTGTGTCTATTTCAGAAAAACTTATTTCATTAATTTTTCTAGCAAACCATTCATACTTCCAGCAAATGAGGAATTGTTTTTTGTTCCCATTAGGTACGTGAGCTGTTTTTCTCCTCTTTGATCATGCCTGTATTATTAGTTTTATTAGTGGCTTTATGGAATCTTTCTAAATCAAAAAAGAAAAAGAAGAAAAACATGTGGAGCTGCCCTGTATCCATGAATCAGGAAACTTGAATATTTGGATGCTGTTACTAGCAACAGTGACATTGTCTAGCTAATTGCTAATTTAAAAGGTTTATGGTCAGCAATCCCAGTGTATGGTTATAAGTGTGACTGTACAAGTGAAAACAAAAGCTAGAAAGAAATAGATCCTTTCTCTATTCTTGTTATCCTATTTGTAAGAGTCTAAGTGCCAAGTCTTTCTGTTAAAAGCAATTTTTCAAACATGCCAAGACAACTTTAATTGGCATTATGTTTAAGTGTTAATGAAATTTTGCTTTATTCCTATACTGTTGACTAATACAGGCATATTTATTGCCCATTACTCTGAACATGCAGATGTTTATTTGGAGTTATTGTGGTGCTTAAGATTTTACAGGATTAACATTTGCGAACTATGATGATTACTTATAATAGCAATATCTGAACCTTTTAATTTAAGGAAAAATTCTGCTCATTATTTCACCCCAAAGTTTAAGATTCTTTATGCCTGAAGAATGTTTTGTAAAGACTTTTCCTCACTGGGACAAAAAATACAGAGAAACCTATGTTTGTTTTGTTTCTAAGACATAGTACAGCTAGAATTTTAAGACAGAGTACATTTTGTACATACACACATTCATGTTGTTAGACATTCAAGTGTTCTTATTGTGTATTTGGTCCTGCTTGTATTCCTGAATACAAGCAGGACCAAATCTATAGGTTTTCAATATATTGTTACAACAGCAGAGTTGCTAGGTACAATAAAAGAACAAGCTATCCCTTCTAAAGTAGCTGCTTGTGGAATTACTACTATGCTATTATAGCTAGCTAAGTAATAATACCAGGATGAAAAAAACTGTGCTTGCTTAAATTCCTTCTTCTGTTGAAATCTCTGGCCTGCTAATATCTCACTAATAAACAAATTAAATACTTGCATTTAACAATTAATTCTATATTGTCATGATTGAATAGTAAAAGGACATTACTAAAGATACTATATTTGTCTCTCAAGCTTTTCATGATCTGGAAATCACTTGATGTCTTTAGCAGTCATGGTTACTGAGTTAGTCATATTCATTGTAAAGGCTAGAGTAGAAGATACTGATTAAGAAACACACTAAAAGTCTATTTTAGTCAGATGGAGTAAATTTTCACACCTGCATTTTAGGAAAGCTGGTAAAATTTTCCTTCCCTTGATGACTCTGTGAAATTACTAAGGAATTGTTATTTTTAGCCACATCAGCCTGTTTTTAACATAGAATGTCAACGGGATGACTCTAGTATATCCATCATCTAAGAAAATCATATGAAATTTATTTCCAGGATGCTGAAAGAAAAAGCTAAAGATGATTTGTTTATTAATATATTTTATTAATTAATTATTACTTCAATCTTCTTCTGAAAGGAGCAGAAAAGTTTACAGGTCTTAAAAACATCTGGACTAGTTTTTAATCCTATAAGTACATAGGCAAATAAGAATGTCTTCCACTATTTCTGAAAAAAGACTGGAGCATAACTCTGGTTTTCAATTGTGATGCTGTCCTTGAGAAGTTCTATTGATGCCCACACACTGGAACTAAACCACCAGTGGTAGCTTGCAAAGTTCCACAACTGATTTTGGTGCAGGAGTTAAAAGGTGTTGGAGGACATGATACTTTAAATCTTTAGGTGCCAGACCTTTTATTTTAATAGTGTTCTTTCACATTATATTTCTTACATTTCTTCTTTACACATAGTTTATGTAAGTTTCAGAAAGAGTAGGTGC